TGTCTAGATGATAGTTTGAGCATCTAATAGATTATGAATTTTTGAAAAAAAAATTTCTTACTTGTCATAATCGATTATATTATTTTTGTATATGCTATCATAATCAATTATTACGAGAAAACTTTTGAAAGTTTGAAAAAAAAATTAATCTATTATATCATGGTTCTATTCTTTTATCCTTAGTCTTCTGACAAAGACTTGTGATTCTACTAACCTTTTTAAGGACCCAAAAATAATTAAAAGGTACCTAGATTTGTATGTTGATATTGTAGGTTATTGGAGCTAAATGGGTGTACAAGAGCAAAGCTAGATAAACAGGAAAATGTCATAAACAAGTTTATTCTTGTCTCTCATGACTTTGCATTAAATATCTACACTTATCTGCCACATAAATTCGACTGTTAACCAACTTAGAAATTTGAAAGTTTGAATTTTGAAAATTTGAAATTTGAAAGTTTGAATTTTGAAAATTTGAAATTTGAAAGTTTTGAAATCTAAAAGGTTGAAATTTGAAAGTTTTTAAATTTAAAAGTTTTGAAATTTGAAAGTTTAAAATTAGAAAGTTTAAAATTAGAAAGTTTGAAATTTGAAGTTTGAAATTTGGAATTTGGAATTTGGAATTTGAATTTGAAATTTGGAATTTGGAATATGAGTGAATTTGAATTTGAAAGTTGCCTCAATAAGACTATAATTGGGGGAAACTGCTGCATTCCATTCCATTATCTCTGAAATCATTCCATTCCCCTATCTTTCTCTCTCTTCATTTGCCTTAGGTATCCTAGATATTGTTTCCTTAATATGATGTTTTTCTCTATGACACTTTATAATGCATTATCTTCTCTACCTTGATTTATGTACTAATCTGTGCAAATTTGTGCTCAATTTCTATTGCACTATTTTTCATAATTATCAATGAAACAGGGAGAGATTTTGATGATATTAATTTGTGTGAAACAAGGGGAGATTTTTTGATGAATTAAAATCTATATGAAATCCATTCCTAATTCTGAATTAAATAGAGGGAGTTAGGAGAAGTTTTGCTCAGATGAGTTAGGGGGAGCTTTTTTATTAATATATCTAGGAGGAGTTTAAATATACTGTGCTAATCTGGGCTAATCTGTGCTACACTATATTGTGCAAATCTGTGCTAATCTTGAGTTGGCTATATAGAGTCAAGCATTTTAATTCATTTCAGATGTTTCCTTGATCATCATCAAAAAGGGGGAGATTGAAAGCAATGAGGGGGAGATTGATGGCAATGTGAAACATGTCCCTACATTCCCAAGAGATGATTTTGATGATGATTCAAGTCAACAACATTCAAGACACAAGGAAGCCCAATATATGATTTGATAAAGATTCTATTCAAGATTCAAGCAAGCCTAAGATGATTCTTGAAGACTAGATAGAATCTTAGAATACTGGATATGGAGGTACAAGTTGATGAAGTAATATTATGCATAAGCTTCCAAAGCACAAATGTGATAAAATTTCGTAACATGACATTTTTCACTGTCATAATCAATTATGATGCATCAGAAATGGAAAAATGATTTTCTCTGTCATAACTGATTATACTAGTAACATAATCGATTATAGCAGTTCAAATTTGAAAAATATATATGTTTTGAAGAATTAATGTTTTTTAATACATCTTGATTTTTCTCTATGAAAGTATTAATGACCAACAACTATTTTATAATGTTATTTTCTTATTTAAATGAGTTTTGATGAAAAATAAAAAATACACAATTATAGAATTCAAAAATAAAATTTTATATTCATTCAGTTTTAAGAAAAGATTTACGAGCAAGACAACATAGATATTTTACACCTTCGAGAAAACCCTCTTCTCTACTCGTCTTCTATACTTTCATTGTTAATCACACTTGTTCTTGAAGATTGTCATTCTACAGGCTTCTACAATTTGTTGTTTCCATTACCCAGGTGTGAATGTTCTTATTTTATTGCCTTAATCCTTTATAGGGCTTAGGAAGTTGATGTTAAATTCCATGTTTAGGGTTTAGGTGGTTGTTGTTAAATCCCCTTTTTAGGGTTTAGGTGGTTGTCATTCATCCCTTGATTTGTTCAGGGGAGGTGTTCATCCTTCATGGGATTCTAAGGAGGTGTTTTCTTCTTTTGACTTGTTCAGAGGAGGTGTTCATCCCTAGTGGGATTCTAGGGAGGTGTTCATCCTTAGTGGGATTCTGAGGAGGTGGTTTCATCCTTTGATTTGTTCAGAGGAGGTGTTCATCCCTAGTGGGATTCTAAGGAGGTGTTCATCCTTAGTGGGATTCTAAGGAGGTGTTTTCATCCTTTGATTTGTTCAGAGGAGGTGTTCATCCCTAGTGGGATTCTAGGGAGGTGTTCATCCCTAGTGGAATTCTAGGGAGGTGTTCATCCTTAGTGGGTTTCTAAGGAGGTGATTATCTTTTTAATTAGTTTACTTTTTACTGGTTCCTCTGCTGAGTTGATTGTAATTTGTAAACTGAATTTGAAAGATAGTGAATTGGGGTCACTCTTGTGATTAGAGTTGACTGGGAACTGGATGTATGGTTGGTTATACCCGAACCAGTATAAATTATTGTGTGCTCTTCTCTTTCCTTTATCTCTTTAACAACACCGCATCCTATATCTCCACGCTTGAATCTTTCTCTTTATTTATCTGATAATTAAAATTGATTTAATAAATTATTGGACATCTTTAAATAAATTTTTAATTTGACATCTATTTTAATTTGTGCATTTATTCACCTCCCTCTAGATGCCATTTGACTAACAGATGTGAAAAGTTAAATATCTTAAAATTATTTATTTTATCCCTCAAACTTATATATCTATTAAATGTTACTACTAAAATGGATTACATATTTTTCTATTTTTTGCTCGACAGAGATTATTTTCCTACTCCTACGTATCCCTAGGTCTAATGGAGAATCGGAGTAATGTAATTCTTTCTTAAAAGTATTTGTGAATAATTTATTTTAATTTATCTACTTGTGTTACTAAATTAAGCATATGCCAAAAATTGTTTTAAAGTTGAATAATTATGTAATAATCAAATTAGAAGTACATCTAAAATGATTATCATTATAATTTGAGTAATAATTAAATCAAAAGTGCATATAAAGTAATTTAAATATTTAAATTATTATACTTGTAATTTCTATTTGGATTTAAAATATATATATATTTTTTAAAATAGTTTATTATAATCAAGTCAAAAGTACATTTAAAGTGATTATTATAATTTTATAGAAACCAACTTAGATTTGCATCCAAAGTGGTTAAACTTTTATGAAATATTTTCTTACTACTCTAATAACAATAATATTGCATATTTAATAACATCCAAGAAAAGAAAGTGATAGTCATTGAAATTTAATCGTTAATATACTAATAATGATATACTAATTTAAATCATTTTTAAGAGAGAAAAAAAGTAAAATCATTTTTATTTGAAATTTGGATAAAATAATAACAATAATAAATTCTCCTACTCATTATTATTTGTAACTTGTTTTTTTTGTTACGTGGTCTAGTTTAACAAAATAAAACAGATAAAAAAATTAGGCCCAATAACTCATAAAAATAATTTTTTTTTCAGATTTGTTTTACTATTTAAAGCTAATTTTTGTTATTTTCACCTCCAAAACCTAAACAGAAGCTATTTTATTAATCCAACTTAGACTATCGGCCCAAAAATCTCTTGTCAATCTGTTGGATCTAAGATTAATTTGCTTCACTATTAGAAGCCTATTTTTACTATTTCTACTCCCAAATAGATTTGGGTCACAGCTCTCTTAAGCCCACATCCCCATATTGAGCCCATACTTCTCTTTAAACCTAACACTGCTAATCCTAACACTGGAGGAAAAAAAGAGGGGAGGGGGAGTCATGTGAGATGAGAGTGATGGGGAATGCAGTGCGGGGTAGAGACGTGACACAATGGCCATAGTGGTTAGGGAGGAGAGGTGACGACGATGATGGTGATTTTGGTGTGGGGGAGGAGAGGGTTGGTGATTTGGGGGGAAAAGGTTAGTGGTTTGGTTGGGTGGTTCATGGTGGCCTCACGATGGTGGTGTGGTGGTCAATGGGGGTTGGTTCCGATGAAGGCAAAATGGAGGTGATCATGTGGGATTTTCGACAATGAGGGTGTAAGCCGCATGTGGCTAAGTTAGGGCTCGTGGTTTGCAGTGAAGGAGAGGGAGCTAATGGTGAGGTCGTGGCTGGAGGAGAAATTGAGAGTATGAGCAGAAGGGAAAGGAGAGTGGAGGTGGTGTGGTGGGCTCGCTGTGGTGGCAGCCAATGATGATGGTAAATGGATTTTTATTTGTTTTTATAATTTTTATTAATTGTTTTGAAATATGTACAATTTGGTATCATACAACAAATACTTTAAGGGCTACAAATATTACAATATAGGCTACAAATATTATAATATTACATAGAAAGTGGATAAAGATTGGGAACCTATGTATGAGTTTTGATGAGATGTGTGTTGTTGTTTTATTACTATTGATTATGTTGCTGGGATTGTGTTGTGTTGGTTATTGCTATTGCTGGGTTTGTGTTGGTTATTACTATTGCTTGGTTTGTGTTTGTTATTGCTATTATTGGGTTTATGATGGTTATTGCTATTGCTTTCCTTTATCTATGTTCATGAAAAAAGATCCTTTTTGTTGAGGTTATCTTTCAATTTATAGAGCCCAATCTTAATCCCTGGTAACATGCAGGGCAATGTTGGTGGTTGGAGTAATGTTGCTGGAGCAGGATTGTGTTGGTGGCTAGAGCAGTGTAGCAGAGAGGGTTGAACAGTGTAGCAGAGCAGAGAAGCTAAAGCAGTGTAACAGAGAGGGTGAAGAGAGGCTAGAGTAGTGTAGTAGAGTAGAGAAGGTGGAGCCGTGTAGCAAAGAGGGTGAAAAGAGGGTGGAGCAGTGTAGTAGAGAGGGTGAAGAGAGAGTGTAGCAGTGTAACAGAGCAAATAAGGTGAAGAGAGGCTAGAGTAGTGTAGTAGAGTAGAGAAGGTGGAGCCGTGTAGCAAAGAGGGTGAAAAGAGGGTGGAGCAGTGTAGTAGAGAGGGTGAAGAGAGAGTGTAGCAGTGTAACAGAGCAAATAAGGTGAAGAGAGGCTAGAGCAGTGTAGCAGAGCAAAGAGGGTGGAGCAGTGTAGCAGAGAGGGTGAAGAGAGGATGGAACAATGTAGCAGAGAGGGTGAAGAGAAGGTGGAACAGTGTAGTAGAGCATAGAGGGTGGAACAGTGTAGTAGAGCATAGAGGGTGGAATAGTGTAGTAAAGCTAAGAGGGTAGAGCAGTGTAGCACAGAGGGTGGAGCAGTGTAGCACGAGGGTGGAGCGAGTGTAGCACGAGAGGGTGGAGCATAAAAATGGGACCGACTTCCATGGGCAAAGGAAAAAAATGTTTTTCCTTTTATTGTTTTTCTTTTTTTTTTTTACTTTTGATTTATTTGGAAATTTTCATATATTTTATGTATTTTATAGGAAAAATAAAGTGTTTACATTTGCCCCTCTTTAATTAAGTTTTATCGGATAATTTGAATTTAAATTTGAATATTAAAGCATAATCGAAGATGTAAACACTGAAATACTTAAAATTTAACAATTTGGACAAATACAACAAATTATTAAAAGAATAGTAGAAAATTATTAAAAGAACAATATAAAATTGTAAAATTGTGATTTGAAATGTTGAAAATTTAGAAGTGAACTCAGGAATCTTATATAAAACTATAATTTGAAATGTTGAAAATTTAGAAATGGGCTCGGGAGACTCAATATAAAACTCTAGATTTTAAAATGTTAAAATATTTAGAAATGGGCTTGGGAGATCTAATATAAAAATTGTGATTTTAAAATGTTAAAAATTTTAAAGTGGGCTCGAGGACCCATTAAGATGTAAAATACTAAAATTTTGAAGGTGGGCTTGGGGACCTAATATAAATTTATGATTTGAGATGTTGAAAACTTGAAAATGGACTCGGGGACCTAATGTGAAGAACTTTGTAGTGTATATAATTTAAAACTGTCTAGGTTAAATTGATTATTTATACATATGAGTAGAAGTTTGTGGATAGTATTTATTCTTAACTTAAACAAGTAATGCATGATGTGATTCACAAAAAGTGTGACATGTAATGCATGATATGCAAGTTCATGACGGGGGCATGATGCATGTACTTTTGACTAATGATTTTTTTTAGTGCACATTTTCCCATACTTTGACCCCTTAAGATTCTGAATGTATCAAGATTCATGGAGGGAAGCAATCTTTGAATTGTATTTTCATTTTAAAACATGTTGAATATGTCTTCTTCAATTGGATAATGGTTATGCTTTACTATTTTAGATTCCAAATTGTCAACAACTAGTTGTTCTTGCCGACATCATTTCATTTTTTTTAAAATCATCGCATTTTTCATGGTTTTATTTTAATTATAATGCATTATTAACATTATGACATGTTCCTTTATTGGTATATAATCATGATGAAATGACACAAAACAATGGTGGTTAAGACAATTTATATTTATTACTGGAAATGGAAAGAGTGCATACATGAACAATTTTTGTTTAAGGAATATCTAATAATACAAACATAAGTGACAATTTGAGGGTTTTTTTAATAACAATATATATTAATCCTCATGTTTACAACTTTGAAGAGTTCATCCATCAACCTTTGTAAACATACTTTGTGTATATCAATTTTCTAACTTGCTCCCACATTTTTTAACTTTCGCCATTGTAGGTTGCTCTGACTTTTACATAGACTAACCTTTTAGGTTTTCAGTCAAGTAATTTTATTTACCCCTATTTTGCCTAAGCTGCTCCTTTCGATTTTTCAGCTTATCGGGTTGCTCAATTTTGCCTAGATTGTATTTTCATATTTTCAGCCTAATGAGTCCTTTTTTTGCATAGTATTTCTTAACTGCATCAGAATAGATCGGGAGTGATAAATCATTACCACCCATGTTTGAAAGGATAAGGGCACCTCTTGAAATATCTTTCTTTACCGCAAAGGGTCCTTCATAATTTGACGTCCACTTTCCTCTTTAATCTTTTTGAGTTGGTAAGATCTTCTTGAGGACCAAATCTCCTTCATGAAATTGTCGAGGGAGGACTTTTTTATCATAAAATATTTTCAACCTTTTTTTATACAAATTTCCAACATAGGGTGATCAATCCTTTTTCTTCAATAAGATTCAATTGGTCAACACGAGTTTGGATCCACTTGGCCTCCTCAAGTTCTGTTTCAGCCAACACCCTTATAGAGGGAATTTCTACTTCAACTGGAAGCACCACCTCCATCCCATACACCAAAGAATATGGAGTTGCCCCTATAGAAGTTCGAACAGAGGTGCGATATCCATGTAGTGCAATGAGTAACATTTCATTCCAATCCTTGTATGTAACTACCATCTTTTAGACAATTTTCATTATGTTTTTATTCACTACATCTACTGCCCCATTCATCTTTGGATGATATGGTGATGAATTATGATGTTGAATCTTAAAATTATCACTCAACTCTTTCATCATTTTGTTATTCAAATTAGTCCCATTGTCAGTAATGATCTTGTTTGGTATACCGTAGTGACAAATTAAGTCCTTCTTGATAAACTTAATCACTACATTCTTTGTCACCCCGACATATGATGTTGCTTTAGTTTGACCCATTTGGTGAAGTAATTGATTGTCAGTAAGATGAAGCAATTTCCAGTTGATGCTCTAGGTTTGATTGGTCCGATTACATCCATACCCCACAGTGCAAATGACCACAGTGCAACTAAAACATTTAAAGATGATGTTGGTGCCTGGATATTATCAACATATGTTAGAATTATAGGCTGAGATCAAAAGGGGGGGGTGAATTGATCTTTACAAAACTTTTTCGCAACTTTCAGATATAGATTAATATTTTCAAAGATTGAGAAATCAGATCAAGTATACACCCAAGAAAAATCAAACAAAATTAAAGAAAGAGATGAAAGAAGAAAAGAAACACCAAGATTTATATTAGTTCACCCAAACCAGTGGGCTACGTCCAATTCTCAACCAATTTCCAGTTGAGTTCCACTAGATTGAATATGTTTGATTATAGAATTAGATTACAAAATACTCAACCTGCACCAAGAACCAAATTCCAGTTGCAGAACTAGTGCCTAATCTTCTAAACACCAAGAGTACACAATAATGAAAAAGAATTGAAAGAATAGAAGAAACTAGAACAATCAAACCGGTTATGCAGATGCAGAATTCAAACTGCAGAATGAGTTTTTTCACAAGCAAAAACAAAATATGCCTCAAGAAAGAATTCTGAAAATTCCCACTGGAAAGAGTGTGCTTCTGATTGATGTCGTACTCGATCAAATAATTAAAACAGATAAATGTAGTACTAGGAAGCTTTCCTAATTCGTCTCCCAAAGACCATGAATTTCTATCAAAGCTTGTCAATTTTTCGAATTAGAACAACAACAAAAAGGGGGAATTTTTAGATTTAAAATATTAGATGAAAAAGAAAAAAAGTAGATTATAAAAATGTGGATTAAAAACAGATTATAATGCAATTGATTTCCTTATTCCAATGCAATGTCACTTATCCTAGGTTACGAAATTAATTCGAAATTAACCAACTAAGTGAAGATAAATCCCAAATTATATTCCAATCCAAAATTAATCAATTAAGCGAAGATTAATCCCAAATTAGATTTAACCCTTATTCCAATATGAAATTAACTAACTAAGCGAAGATTAATCCCAAATTTTCCTTAACCCTTATTCCAACATGAAATTAACCAACTAAGCGAAGATTAACCCCAAATTATCTTTATACAATTAAGCATTGCATACATCACATAATCTCATCTCTAACACAAAATTAAGCAAATTGTGATATTACTTTTGGTTTATTAAGTATAAACAGATTATAATTCAACACTGAGATTAGAAGATGAAGAATTAAGAGAACAAAAGAAATGAAATTGAAGAACAAAACATCAAAGATCTACTCGCATTCTCCTCAGAAAATCAATACAAAGATTTAGCTATCCATGGAAAATCGAAAACGCAGAAGAAGAGACATAATTAAAATCGAAACAAGAATTTAAAATAATGATAGAAGAGTAAACAAACTTGAATACAAATTGCAAAAGATGAAAGGCAGCTGCGTGGTGTCCTTTTCTCTCAACCCTACATCTCGCTTATATAAATAACCCTAACCCTAATCTTAATCTAGGTTTGGGCCCAACTTGTCCACAAAACACATCATAAGTTGGCTTCAATGCAGGTCTCTGAACTTCAAATACGTGCAGTATTTTCAATCTGGTTTCCTTTGAAAGCATTTTGAGTTAGCTTTAAAACGCCACCATTTTTACTATTTTCGGAGGTCTAATGAATTTAGGAGACTTAAATTACTAAAGCATGTCCATTGGGCAAGTCTGGTGCGCTTGACCCGTTTTGGATAATTTATGTAAAATCCAATTTAGCTCTAAATTGAATGATTATAGATTCTCTGGAAAGTTGAATGTGTCTAGTTTATAATTCTTCCAGAAACATGAATTTTGGAGATCTGTAGAAAAAATAATAAATAAATTAGTGAACCAATGTTAGTACCCGTATAGAATAAAATGACATTTTCCAAGCCCAAAATTGCTTTAAACTGTAATATGGCATCTAACCTAATCTTCTAGGCCCAATCTTCTCGGCCCAAAATTGCTTTAAACTGTCTTGAAAAGAATAATGAGAAAAGAATTAGATCAAATAGATTCAAATTAATTAAAATCTGAGTTATTGACCCAATGAAACCCATTTAATAAAAATTCACTAATAATAGAAAGTTAAGCCCAAAACACTAATTAAAATAAGTTTAGAAAGGGAATAAAATATGAGAATATAATGACTCATCAAAGAACCTCACACTTAGCCTTTTGCACACCTGAGAAAAATCAAGAAACAAAGCAAGGAAATAAATCCAAAAACATAAAAGAAAATCATGCAAAAGATAGAAACAAAGACAAAAATAATGACAAACAAAAACATAAACAGAATTACATACTCCTTAATGAAACCTAGGAATCAAAAGGGATAGACAACCTCCAACACTCAAAGAGTCAAAGAAATCCGACATCTATGGACATTGTAGACCCCAAATCTTGTCCGACTCCACAAAAAGGCCAGAAATCCTTCATTCTAAAGAAGAATAAAACTTCATAGGGCCTCTGGTAGTGTCTACTAGGTCTCAGTTAGAATAAGGAG